GGGGGCGTTCATGTAAGTTAGTTGTAACTGTAACTTTCTTGCTCGTTCTCGTCACTGGCCTGAGCCTTGAACATGACCTCGGATAGCGCCAACAACCAGCACCAAGAGGAGAAGAAGAACTGCAAAGCAATGGCTGGCCAGGCGTATCAAGCGTATCCGAATGCTCGGCAACCATGTCTAGGTACCGCAAAATCGCAAACGAGAGCATGTCAAGTGACGGCTGGAAGCCCCGAGAAAGGAGGGAATGATTCAAGGCGGATGGGGTCGAGGTGGCCTGACTTTTATGGAGCCCGTCTTTGCCGTCAGAACTGCCTAATGAAAACTAGAGAACTTCCCGGGGTGGAGCCGGGAGACCGAGGGCCTCTCCGACTGGCTTGCGGCGTCCAACGCCCTTCTCTCGCACAACGTAGTCCTGCAGCTTGCCTCCATGGACCCTATCCGCTAGACAGAAACATGGAGTGAGAATGTGACCTCGAGCTAATACCCCTGGTCCTTTGGCTTCTTTGTTTAGTTCAGCCGGGAACATTTTTGAGGATTCGATGGGGTTCGTCGGGGCAGGAAACATGCGTCTGCAGGGGACGAATGACGCATGTGAAAGTCTTCCTAGGTGTGAACGAGCCAACTGCGACGAAAATTCGCCCGCAGAGGCCACTGAAAGCAATCTCACTACTAATAAGTACAAAAAGTGGTTACGATAAGTCACATTGGTCGCGTTTGACTTTGATAATCTGGCCAGGTGATGAGTAATGTTTCTCTATTCAATTCATTTACATCGGAACACACCTACACAACAGAATCACCAATGATCCGCTGCTTGAGATCTTTCAGTTGCCCAGACGGAAGGGTGTCGCGGAGCCCTAATGCCATCTCAACCTGACACAGCTTCACAGTAAAAATTCAAGTTACGCAGTAAGGACCAAAGGAAGGCTCAGTAAATAAGCCGGGCTGAAGATCACCCAGCGCTATCCCCAGAGTCCGTCGACCTTTGAGCCGTTGAGGAATCGAACCAGCTGTTTGCCCCGCATACCGCAGGCCCGGGTCGACGCCGGTAGCGGGAGCTGGAGCGGGGCACATCAGTTCGGGCTGCCACGTGTTGGTGGAGCATTGCCTTTCCGAAAGCTGCCGATGCTGGGCCCACCGCCGCCGCCCTTTCGATTTGGATCACTGCATGTCTTTTCGGACAGTCGAGCGCTTCGTGATCAAGTTCCATCTCTTGATGCACTGGTTTTGGTTTGGGGAATGAGGAATTAGAGACCAGACTCTATGTATCGACAGCCTAAGTCTTGCCATCCGCCATGCCTTGATAATTTATGTTGAGAGCCCTTTGGATTCTTGACTTCACCAACAAGTTGTCAAAAGTCGCCGGTGTCAGCGCTCAATAGAGACTGAGCGGAATATTGTCGAAATGGACTTGAATTTTATCATGAACTACATATATGTGACGAGCATCGCTATAGAAGTTGAGTTGTGTCATCTGGAGTTAGGTTCAGGGTTCTGCTTGGGGACTCAATAAATGTATGGACTATAGTCTCAAGAGTTTACTACAGGCCAGCCTGTGTCCGTTAATAATGATTCACAACACAGAATTCACGGTAGTGATTATATGAGCTTTCTAGTTCAATATTGATGTATCAGAAGACGAAAGCGTGTGATCGCGCAATGATCAGGAAACACATCTCGAAAGCCCAAGTCCAGCGCGCCTTCCGCAGGATGTCATCCAATTGCCGAGATGCAATCTTTCGTGTGATTTGGCATGATACGGATTTTCTCAGACTTTTTAGTCGCTCTGGCTTTCTCAGACCTTTAGCTGACTTGAGCTGGACGAGCTGACAAGTGACAACTTTTTGTCGATTTAACAAACGTAAGTGGAGATGCGTTTTTGATAGCCTTTGTTTTCCCGCAGATCCTGATAACAGGATAGCTGAGTATAATTGGAAGCGGAAGTTGAACCCGCTTACTTTGCAAACAAATGCGGAAATCGATTGACTCTCCCACCTGCCAATCGCATGTCTGGTCTTCCTTGAACACCTGGTTACACTCAACTCTGAACGCTCAATGCATTGCAAGTCTTAGATGTTACTTGTGAGACGTTTGACTGAACAGTTCTCTCATTTCGCATATTCCGAGGAAAGCGAAGAGAATATGTTCCGAGGAACTCCATGTGCTTGGTGAATCAACAAGTGTATGTCTAACATGATCGGAGGTTGATGAATGCAGACTTGATATGCGAACCTGATGAGAAAATGGCCGAGGAATCGAGTAGAAAGGCTTGGCTGTAGTACTTGATAGAAAGTCGCCTATTAATGCTTCCGACTGCATGATACAGATAGGACTTGCTTCGCTAATGCTGTTATTGTCTGTTGCGTTTGTCGCGACATAGCAGGGAAGGATTGCGCGAAGTGGCTCTGGCAAGCATCCATCAATCACGTAACACAGATTACGATCTGAGGAGAAACAACATTGAATATCAGCTACGATACCTGTTCTATGAGATTCCTCCTGCATGTTAATTAACCAATTGACATGAAAGCTGAAAGCCTCCATACCGCCTTCAAGGTCTCTCGGCTCTCAGCCCAGATCTCATTGTGAAGTTGTAAATGAATGAGGAGGATATCGTATTAATCAGTGCCCCAACGAAATATGCAAGTCGAGCTCCCACAGCAAATAATGGCGATAAGCCCTCGGTGGGACTTTCACTATCTCCATCTAGTTTTGAGTGTTGTGCAAGCACGTCATATGCAACATCAATTCGTCAGAGCTTTCGAGGCTATATGTTCTTCACTTGGCGTAAACTGTTGCAACAGATTCACCAAGCTTTTTGCTTTTCGATTTTCAATAAACGGCATCCTCGTATTCGACTTCAAACCATGGCTCCCAGATATTCCAGTGTCGCAGTAATCGGTGCTGGGCCTTCTGGCATCTCCGCTGTGAAAGCCTTGAGTGAAGAGAATGTCTTCGAAAGAATCCAATTGTTCGACAGAAGAGAAGGCATCGGTGGCACATGGTATGCAATCTACATCATAAAATGCTTGAACTCGATTTGACATATGCCTCCAGGATCTACGATGAGCAGCCAGAACCTTTTTCGCCATCTTCGGCGCAACCTGTGCGAGAGATTCCAGCCAAGCTACCACAGTCATTGCCACCAGCATCTGAAAATGTCACAGCTCGGACAGGTCTCTATCCCGCCTTGGACAGCAATGTCGGCTCCCAAGTGATGGCGTTCACCTACAAGCCATTTCCGGATGTGAACTCGGCCTCTTCCATCAACCGCTTTGGCAAGAGGAACCCGACGCATCCCTACGCGCAAGTCGCTGGCTACCTCGAGGAGATTGCAGAGCCGTTTTCGCACTTGTTCACTTTCAATACGCATGTGGAGCGTGTAGAGAAAGTGGGCAAGAAATGGCAATTGACTCTCAGGAAAACCCAACATTATCTGAAGAACCAGAAGAGAGATTACTGGTGGCAAGACACATTCGATGCTGTTGTTGTGGCCACCGGGCACTACGGTGTACCATTCGTTCCGAATATTGACGGTCTTAAAGAGACTTTTGCTGCTTTGCCTCAAAGGTTTGAGCACTCGAAGGCTTACAGGTCTCCTGAGGACTACGTTGGCAAGGTATCTACTTACTTCTATCCTTATCCGTCAATGAGATGAATGAACATGACTAACGCGATGGTTTAGAAAGTCGTTGTCGTCGGCGGCAACGTTTCTGCATCTGACACAGTCTCAGAGATCCACAGCATCGTGTCTGGGCCCCTTTATGTCTCGCAGCGAGGCTCTAATGAAATTCTTCAGGATGCATGGGAACTACCCAACGTCGTTCTCAAGCCGCAAATCACACGAGTGTCCGTTGGATCTGGAAACACCGTCAAAGTCAAATTCTCGGACGGCAGTGAAGTCGACGGTATCGAGAAAGTTCACTTCGGCACCGGCTATCGACTTTCCTACCCTTTCCTGCGTCCCGATCCCGTGACGCCAAGTGGGCGCCTCTCAGGATTTTACCAACACGTCTTTAACATCGCGGATCCGTCACTCACAGTCGTGGGACAAGTCAAGGCGGCCATCTCGTTCCGTGTCTACGAGTACCAGGCCGTTGCCGTGGCTCGCTATTTCGCGAACCGGGGAGGCGGTCTGCCTTCTCCACGAGAGCAGGACGAGTGGGAAGTGAAGCGACTGCAGTACAAGGGGCCGACGTCCCAGTTCCACGAAATCAAGCCCGACTTTTCAGAATATTTCGAGTTTTTGCGAGGTGTTGCCGGACCTCCTGCACCGGACACGGATGCTTATGAGTTGCCTGCGTGGGAAGATGAATGGGCGTTGTTGGGCTTCGGCGTTTTGGCACTGAAGCAAAAGTGGTGGAAGGAGTTGAAGAGGAAGGAAGAGGAGGCAAAGAAAATCCAGTCCAAGTTGTAGGCTCGATGCACATTGACCGTAGGAGCACACAGGACCATGTTGCTTCGGCTTCGAGTGGATTTTAATCACTAGACTCTTGTGTTAGAATAACAGAGGAAATTTCCCTTGCTTTGACAAGCTTTGTTCCGCTCATAAGCGCAACTTTCTAACCAGATGCTTTCCCATCTTTTCTCATTGCCAAGACGCCAGTTCCTACGCGAGATCTATAGGCGATTTTGCGTGTTATTCCCAGCCGAATTCGCGATAGACCTACCCATTGCGGTTAATTTTCCGACGGAGTTCGACCGAGGGGTAGGAACCCACGCGGAGTTTAGTGGACCTCGATGATCAACTGCCGAATGAGCTGCACGATTGTCATTTGAACGGTGGGTTCAACGTTGCACTAGCATATTCGTCATTCATGTAGAGAATGAGGAGTTCATCCTATGAAAAAAATTGGAGGGACTTTTGAACATGAGATGGCTAGAACATCGTCGAAGTGGCGATGGTAGCCGAGGCTACGAGCTATCATATAAGTCAACGATGGTTCTAAGCAACGTATGTGAATGCAGTTCGTCAACCTCGAGTCCAAGAAACCGTGAAGATGGCCGAAGAATCACCCAAGTCCGTGTCGTCGGACGTCCACGATGCGGCCTCTGACCCACCGGTGAAGCGAGTGTGGTACCACAGCACCTTGTTCAATGCCTTCGTGATCGGAGGAGTTGGTATGAAGCCATGTGCACTGTCAGAGTAGCAATTACTAACATGACCCAGGCTTCATGGCCCCTGGCCTGTGGAATGCGATCAACGCCCTCGGCGCAGGTGGTGCCCAGGAACCGTTCCTCGTCAATGCCGCCAATGCGCTTGTCTTTGGACTGATGGCCTTCCTGTGCTTATTCGGTGGGCCCATCGCGAATCGCATTGGGCTCTCAAGAACGCTGTTGCTTGGAGCTGTTGGCTACCCACTTTACTCCGCTGGACTGTAAGTCAACATACCCACTTCCTGGCACCCCCCTGTTTCTGGCACCACAAAAACGATGGGATCACAACCCAACCTCCTCATTACTATTAACTATTGATCCTCAACCACACCCACTACAATACAGCTGCCAGCCTCACTAGGGCATTCAGAGTCGCTGGATTCAGCCGTGATAACCTCCTTTTCACCCGCTTCGATTTGAGCCCGATGGATATCCCTGATGTTCGCGAACTTCGTATTGGGATCG